AATTGTTAGTATTCACTCCATCATGCTGGGCTTTCATGTAGAACTTCAAAATGCTTTAATGGGAGAAGCATCTATTTATATATCACTTTCCTTCTCCAAAAAGCCTTTTTTCCCCCAGCACTAGTCTCAGGAAGTTTGAGGAAGATCTTAGAACACTAGGAACTTGAATTTTCTAACATCACAAAACTAGCCCAAGGTAAATTTGAGACATGTCTTGTCCATATAGATCAATTACACACACACACATGCACACGCATACACACATACACATCCTGACTTCAATTTTACTGAATGTAATACTGCCTCTATGAAGAGTATTTTAATGTCTAAACTATTTAATATGTTCTTTGGTTCTTTAAGGGCTATGGCTTGTGGCATAGCTCTGTAGCTAATGAAGACAACCCCTTAGATTTGTTATTTATTTTCTTCCTCTTGAAGAGTCATGTGTTTTGTGCTATGTCAGTTTCTTCTTAGCTTTGAGGCTCTTTGAAATGTGCTCATATTATTCAATAGCAAGGCAGGTAACACTGATACTGCATTGCTAATTCTTATCTCCCAGTTAAATGAGGAAACAGTTTTTTTGTTCCATGTGAGCTAAAAAAGCACTTTTGCAGTGATTAGCATTCTTATTAAAATTTATGTGATATGCACCATCTTTCTAATTTTGCAAGAAACATCATAGTATGTCACCTTCAATTTCCTCACATTCCTTTCAGTTTTCCTAATACATAAAATAGGGACCATATGATACTTGTTTTTTAGTGGTAATAATTAAATAAAAGAGCTTGATGAAAATATTCCTGTTAACTATGGACTATTAACCACTGCACCCATGGCCTTTTCTTAGACCACCTGCTCTTGGATCTTCCTAGGAAAATATCCTTCCCTTACCCTAGTTAGTTAGGGAGACCCATCATTCCAGTCTGCCTGGGACTGAGTTGCAGCCTTGAATGCGCTTAGTCTAAGCAAACCAGGATGGTTGGTTACTCGAACTCCAGTCCACGCTCCAGCTAATTTCTCTTCTCTCTTTTATATCAAAACTTCTCTACTGAGCACTCCATGCTCTCCTTCTTCATATCTTAAACCTTAAATTTACTCCTGAATTGACTTCAGCTGTGCTTCTATTACCCTGGATTTTTATGAGTCCCCAGCAGCAGCAGTGGCCTGTGTCTTTTGCCAAAGGAAACTTGGCAGTTCTTACCTCAAGTGGACACTGATGATAGACTCTATATGGCTGTTCACATCCTCACTGAAGCCCTTTGCTCCCAAGGCTTGTATAGCATAATAACTTTCAAATCTCTGACTGTTTTTTTTTTTGACTCTTATTCATGGGATTATCTTTCTCCACTTGTTTTTTGAGAGATGATTTTCCTCAAGATTCTGTACTCGATCTTTTTATCTTTTTTTCTTATCACTCTATAAATTTTCCTTGGCTGATCTCCCATACTTTCTCACTTTGAACCATCCCTTACACAGAACAGTAACTTCAAAAACTACACTTGCTACCCAGACTTCTCTAGTGAGCCAACTACTTGTTAAACATCTGTATACCTGTATGCGCCCAGATGCACTTCAATAAAACTGAAATTTTTACCATGACCTCCAGTGACCTTCTTGCTCTCTCCTCTTTCTTTGTCGTTGGAATAATCAACTGTTATTCAACTATGCTAGAAATCTTTTAACTTTAAAAAAATTTTTATTTAGGTATAGTTGATTTACAATATCATGTTTTCCATTGTATAGCAAATAACTCAGTTGTACATATAAATATTCTTTTTCATATTTTTCCCAATATGATTTATCCCAGGATATTGAATTATAGCCCCCTGTGTTATACAGTAGCACCTTGATGTCCACCCATCGTACATATAATAGTTTCCATCTACTGATCTCAAACTCCCAACCACAGATCTGTTCTCTACGTCTGTGAATCTGTTTCTCTTTCATAGATACATTCATTTGTGTTGTATTTTAGATTCCACATATAAGTGATATACAGTATTTGTCTTTCTGACTTCTCTTATGATAATCTCTAGGCCCATCCATGTTGCTCCAAATGGCATTATTTCATTACTTTTAATGAATGAATAATATTCTGTTGTCCTTATACACCACATCTTTATTCACTCATCTGTTGACAGACATTTAAGTTATTTTCATATGTTGGCTATTGTAAACAGTGCTGCAATGAACACAGCGGCACATGTACATGTATCTTTTTGAATTATAGATTTGTCTGGGTATGTGCCCAGGAGAGGGAGTGCTGAACCACATGAAAACTCTATTCAACTATGCTAAAAGTCTTACTGTCATTCTTGGTCACGTCCCCTTTCATCTCCATTAACCCAGTTACTAAGTTGTTCAGTTTTACCTTCTATGTAGTTCTTAAATTGGTCATTCTCTCTCCATTCTATTCTCACTTCCTAGCTTCAAGAAATATCCTCCTTTTGTCTGAATGCCGTCGCTGCAGCCTCTGAAATCATCCTATCACTCTGGTTTGCCTTCTCAGCCTGTCCTGCTTTGCAGGCCTTAATAGTTCTGGTTTACAGCACACAGCATAGGTGTTTCACAGAACGTCACGTGCATAAAACCACACAGGCACCTTCAGTATGGTGAGCTCTCTATGTATTTATCACTCCCGCCCTATCCCTAACGAGACAGCGGTATCCTGACCAAGGGGAGCCGTGCTTTATTAATCGTTGTATCCCCAGTGCCTGGCCATGGCTGGCATATACGGCTATGCCAAGTGCTAAGCAGGAAGGTGCTCAGCAGTTCTTTCAACTGTGTGCTTTCTGAACTTCTCTGACTGTACTCTCTCTACCCTCTCTTCTAATGGGATAAGACCAAGGTGCATGATTCTATTATTCTATTTCACTTTCACTTTTATATTGGGCTTCCCTGATAGCTCAGTTGGTAAAGAAACCACCTACAATGCAGGAGACCCTGGTTTGATTCTTGGGTCGGGAGGATTCGCTGGAGAAGGGATAGACTACCCACTCCAGTATTCTTGGGCTTTCCTGGTGGCTTAGCTGGTAAAGAATCTGCATGCAATGCAGGAGACCTGGGTTCAATCCCTGGGTAGGGAGGATTCTCTGGAGAAGGGAAAGGCTACCCACTCCATATTCTGGTCTGGAGAATTCCATGGACTATATAGTCCATGGGGTCACAAGGAGTCAGACTGAGTGACTTTCACTCTATTTACATATCACCAAAAATATTTCACATGTAGGACATGCTTAATAACTAGTTACAGAATGAATCAGTGAACAAATGAATGAATGGGTGAATGACTATGTTTAGACCAATGTTTTAAGACACAATCACAGATACAACTTAGAATAGTTCAAAATCAAAGAATTAAAAACATAGTTTCTCTAAAGCCTTTAGGTTGGTTATAAAGTATATTCCTATCTAAATGTGAGCAATTCATAAAATATTTTACAATGTTAAATTCTTACTGAATTTATTCAGTGAAATTTTGGTTATTTTATACCACTTAAAAATGGCTTAACCTTAAAAGCACCAAAGGCATTTTGTATTTTGTATAACTTTAGAGAATATAGTAGAGTTTCATAAAAATTTGGAGTTTTATCTAGCTTATTTTTAAATTATACAAGAACATATTTTGGCAGATTTAAAGACATATTTCAGATATAAGGCCTTAAAACATTTTTATCATAATATTTTAGAATGGAAAAATTAGAAATAATTATATATTGTTTATAATTTTCAAGGACATAATAAATGTTTAAACTACCATCTCAGTTTTAATTTAGCTACACTTTCAAAGACTATTTCAAAAGACTAATGAAAACTTAAGCACAACTTTATTTTGTTAATTAATTTATATTGAATTAAAAGGAAGAGTCTAAAATATTACCAAGAATATGAAAGCTTTTTTTTCTTTTCAGTCTTCACACTCTCATGGTAATATTTAATAGTCCTTCTGGTAGCCTTAGCTCATTTAAGTAGTGTGATGAACATTACTATTATTTGCCAGATGCTTAGTGTTTGGAGAAAAGAACGCAGTTTCAAGACTTTTTTCCCATCTGATCCAGTACTCTGTATTTTACCAAAAGGTCAAAACTGTATAGAATAAAAAATTATGTATCAAATTTTTCCTTTCACTTTTATGTGAAATCAATATGTAGTATAACAGAGATAGAATCCAATGGCTTTTTGAATGTGAAACTAAGATGAATGTAGATCATTTTAATTTTAAATTCCATTAATATTAAACAGCCAGTCACATTATGTAATAAAGTACCTTCACAATGATAATCAACTATCTTCAAATAATCATTTTCTATCTAAGGGCAGCAGTTTACATTAATGAGAAATCTAATCCATATAAATGTAGAATGAATGGTTTCATGTATGAACCATAAATTCAATGAATTTTGACAATTAATGTAAATCCTTATGTGTATATGTGAATAAGTATGCTTGTGTATTCATAACTCTCCACATTTAGTAGTGCTAATTTTCAGAGTTTCAAAAAAAGTAATAAGAGAAAATGAGTTGTACATTTAACTTCCCAAAACATCTGAACTTGCTACTTATGAGATCTTTAATTCTTGAAATTTGTGGGAGTATTTATTTTCATTAAAACAAATTCACCATGATTTCATATTTAAATGGACTAACATCTCAGATTCATAATCATTTGCAGAGGTGGACAGTTTTTGGAAAGTAATTAAACAAAGTGGTTTCTATCCTGTAGCTTTGAATACACATAGAAATGCAATTCAGGACTCTGCCACACTCACTCCTTTAGTACACTCTTCATTTTTTTCTTGATTCAGAGAAAAATAGATTATCTACTTAGCTGTTCTAGGGCTGGGATATATCCTCATATCTCAAAAATAGCTGAGGGTAGACAACTCATCCCAGTTTGCCTAAGAATTTCCCAATAAAATAAAAATCCTCTGTTCCAGGAAATCCCTTAGGCCTAGACAAACCTACTGAGATGAACCACACTTTGAGATAAAGAGCCTTACCTTAACATCATTGGTGTTCATTCTTGTTCCTTCCTTTCCCACAAAAATATCATCAATATCCACGAGAATGTACCTGTCCAAGGACAAAGTGAGCCTCTTCCCTGACAAGAAGGAAACAGCATCTATGAAGATAAGCTTGTGCAACCAAAAGTTCAAATTGTTTCCAAAGAGAACTCTTTGAATTCCATCATGGAGCCCCAGGTCATGTATGACAGTGGCGTGAAAAGCACCTTTAGAGATGGGAGGAGACAGGTTTTCTGGGGTCTTTACTTTGGCGAATATTACTGGTTGGTAGGCTGAGTGATTAATCTGGAAAACAGTCCAGTCAGTTCCAGGTAAAGAACCTTTTTCAAGCTTAGAAGATTTGGTCACATGAAGCAATGGAGAATGAGGATTAATACAGCAATCTTTTACTGCGAGGTTTCCATATACAGAAAAAGGGAAGCCTTTCAACTGAAAGCTCTGTAGGCTCTTGTCACTAGTTTTGTGGAATCCAATGACACCCACACCATATTCAACACAGTATTTATCTAAAAGACTTCGATTCCAAGCGTCCATATTTATATACTTTAAAATGTTCTCATAAATAATGAGAATATATTTGCCTCTAGATTTTTCCGTAAGGGCTGGAAGATCCCCTTTGCCAGGAGCAATTTCAATGTGATACTGGAATCTACTGGATTCTAGAATCATAATGATGTCTTGACCAAGCGATGAGTACTGGCTCTCCACAAACACCAGGACCGTGGTGTCTGACCTCGAGGTATCAGACAGCTTCGCTGGCTTCACTTCCATCAGCCGGTATGGTAGGTGCTGCAAGTCCCCACAATCTACTTCTAAAGCCACTTCTGACAGTTCACTTTCCTGTTTGTAGCCACTGTACAGGTAGTAAGCAGAAATAATAATGCTCACCATACAAAATGTGGCAAGCAGAATCACTGTCCTTTGAAAGTGTCTGTGCAGCTTCATGATAAAACTCATGTTGCATATACTTCCCTCAGACTGTTCCAACTGAAGCACCATAAAAAAATGAAAGAAGAAAAGAAAAGATGATGTTTCAGATACTTTTCCAGTTTCAGTCAACAGTTTATGTCACCATTGCAGCACATTTGTGTCACTTGATCAGGACGCACAGAAAATATAGTCTGAAAAGTAGAATAAGATACAATAGGATATTAAACATTCAATCTGCAGCATTAAAATGAGCACGTTTTTATCCTGGTGACTGGAACAAGTGACAACCTGTTAGGCAGATGAATTGGTGTCTGCTAATTAAGAAAACCTATCTTTTCTTCTCCCAAATCTGAATGAGGACAAGGGAGGAATGGAAAGAGGGAAGGGCTCCACTGAACTAGGGGCAGAAGTCGCTACCAATAGTATACAAAAGGCACTGGATTAACAAGGAGCTTCCTTTTATTCCTTGAGCTTTGGATCAAATTGTATAGATTACATAAACCTAATGCCACAGACATGTCACCTGAGCCATACACTGTCACAACATGCAATATAGGTTCAAACTATTTGTGGTTAATTACATATACTGAAAATTCAGAAAAGTTTGGATGTATTTTATTAAATGCTACAATTAAGACACTAGTTTCTACTTTTTAGAAAATCTCAGTAATTATATAAAAAGTACTATAAAATGTTTTCAAAAAACATAATGAAAACAACTGCAACTTCATGAAATACTTTGTCATATTATAATTTCAATTCTTTTTCAAGTCTTAGTAGCCTTTGAAAAATTCAGTAACTTCTGAAAAATAACAAGAAAGAAACATGGGTGCTTTTTAGAGCAGAAGTTTATTAGGTCTTATGGTCCTGGCAAGTTTCAAGGAAATATCATGGAATATAAAAAATATTAAGAAAGATCTTATTATTGCCCATAAGACAGGATGAAAGCTAGCTGTACCATAGCTGACAGCACTAATGGAGAATGCCGCAGTTGACGTTCTTCATAAAATTAGGGTTTATTACACTTCTGTCTAGTATTGATTGTCACTTTGGCCCTGGTACCTTCTCAGTAAAATGATAAAGTTAGAATAAATGATCACCAAGAACATTCTGGCTCTCTATTATACAGATGAAGTATGTCAGAAAGAAAAAAAACCAAATATCGTATATTGTAATGTGTATATATGGAATCTAGAAAGATGGTACTGATGACCATATTTACAGGGCAACAGTGGGTATGCAGACATAGAAAGCAGACTTATGGACTCAGGCAGAGGGGAAGAAGGAGAGGGTAGAGTGAGTGGAGAGAGTAGCAAGGAAGCATATACACCACCATGTGTAAAACAGATAATGGGAATCTGCTGTGTGGCTCAGGGAATGCAAACTGGAGCTCTGTGACAACCGAGAGGGCTGGGAAGGGCTGGCGGGTGAGAGGGACGTTAAAGCGGGATGCCCACGGCTGATTCATGTGGACATGTGGCAGAGGCCAACACAATATCGTAAAGTAATTTTACTTTGATTAAAAATAAATAAGTTTGGGAAAAGAAAGAACATTCTGGCTCTAAAATTCTGTGATATTCACCTGTGAAATAATCAATGAGGAATATTTTGAGTAATATGTTTATCGTTATGAATAATATAATATTCTGTAATTGCAGAATACTTATAGGATAAATATCTTACTTATCCTATAAATTATATATTGTACTTTATTCATGCAAATATTTAGGGAAACTATATCATTCATTCAATTATTTATGGGGTAAGTATCTTTTTGTTTCAAATATAAATCATCAACAGAATGAATTTCTTTAAAGGGTCCCAAATTATAAGGTAGAGACTAAGTTGAATACAAACAGTAATGTATGGACTGTTGATTAGAGACAAATGTCTGTCACAGGATGAGAGAAAAAAAGACACCATGGCAAGTGGGGGTGTCTGCAATGTGGGGAGGGGTTGGATTTGGGCAGAGCCTTGAAGGATGAGGGCAAGATGAAGAGGCATTTGAGATAGAGGCGATTTTACAGAGGAGGAATGAGCACAGTACTGGGCAAGGGACCCTGAAGAGCTGAAGGAAAGAGTAAGGAATGCCTAAAAAGTAATTGTATAAATATGGGTAACTCAGATCATAGAGATTAGATAACATAGAAGATTTTTTAAAACTTATTATTAGTTTTATCTTATTAAAACAGAATCCAACAACATATTAAAATCATACACCATGACCAAGTGGGCTTTATCCCAGGAATGCAAGGATTCTTTAATATCCATTTATTTTTATATTGTAGTGGTTTTTGCCGAGGGTGGGATGATCTGAGAGATTAGATAACATAGAAGTTTATTGTCAAGAAAGCCTTGTAGGGAACCATTAAATTTCCTGATTTGGGAAATAAAATGAATTAATCAAGAGTGTAGACGACACACCGGGGCAGTGTGAGAGCAGCTCTGGCGAGCCAGGGCAGGCTCATTTCTCACAGCCCAGGCACGAACTGTTTAGTGCCCACAGGGCAGACAGAACACGGCCTGGGTGAGTCTGGGGGACAACTGCAAAGAAGGAGGTGCTGAACCTCACATGTCACCAAAGGTCTGTGGGACACCACCCGTGGCCAAGGGAAATGCCGTTCAGGGATCTGACACGCTCCAAAAGAAATCCTGCTCTTTCAAACATTTCCCCACAGGTTGAGGTGTAATTCAAGCAAGTCAAAATTTCCAGGACAACTGAGGGTTTTCACTGTAACTGTAGCTATTTCATTTTGAAGAGTATTGCACTTTTACAGTTAGGTATATGTTTATGAATAATATAATAGCCTGTGGTACAATAGCAGGATATAAAATCTCACATCTCTCTAGACCCCTGTTTTAGTTCTAGCTGTGAAGTGTTTCTGAGTGGATACAGAACCTGTTCTCACTTTTTGCAGTTCAGATAGCAGTGTCTCATAGTTCGTTCCTATTGTCAGAAGTGAAAGGCATGTAATTCATAAAATTCTTACCTGTGATGAGACAGGGTGGTGAGGTGTATTTGCTCTCACTGTGTAGGATAGTTACTAGAAACCTATCAAAGCTGCCTCCTCCATTAGCAGGTATAAAATACTGAACAACGTGTGAAACAACAGCCAACACTACGTTGCACTTGATGAGTAGGGATTTGTGCTGTACAGACTACGTCTTCTACAAGTTTCAGATGAAAGAGCAAGAGAGGATAAAGAAACTTAGGAGAGTCAGTGGTGCTTTCTCAGAGGCATGGTGCTTGAGGGGGACGCAGCATGATGGGCGGGATCTGGGTATAAGGATGCGGTGCACATGCCCGGCGTAGAAACCTGGCAAGGGTGAAATGCAATGATTACAGCGCATTTATCTGAGAATCAGTCTAAACTAATCATAAGGCACTATGTATTGGACTGAAAATGGAAATAGTGTTTCGCTGAAAACGTGCTGCAGATTAAAGTGACTGTGAACGGAAGAGCGTCGACTGGGAAACAGCACTGGATGTGTCTGAACAGAAGAGAGACAGTAAAAATAGGGTTTACAGATGATTAGTATAGCGGTGACGCCCAGAACGGACAAAGAACAGTAATACGCACAGAGAGAGTATGCGCTGCATTGCATGGAGTGAAGAAGCAGGTGGAATCAGGACAGTCCGAGCAAAGACGCTGCTGCACAATCCAGGTAGGGGTGGTCTGAGTCCAGACAAAGGTGGTTATCAGAGAGGAAAAGAGAAAAGGATGTGGGGGCGGGGGTAGGCAGGCTGGGGGACTAGGAGAATAACAGTGCCGGTAATAAAAGCACCACGGCACAGAGCGGAAACTGGCTTGAGCTACTGCTGGAAACTTAGGGTTCAAGCAGGTGACCAAATGATGCGTGAGGCGACAGCAAAATCACAATGCTCTACAAAATAGTTGGATGTTGACAAATAAGAAAGTCGAGGAAATTGCCTAGGGTCAAAAGTGATGGGTTGCAGGCAAATCTCGACATGCTACACAAATTCAGCTCTTCAGGAAAGTCTTTCCGACCAACTGCACTCCTCTCCCCTTTAGGCCAGGTCCCCAGATGATACACTCTAATTATAATCACTTTTCCTTTAAGGCCTCGACCAAAGGCTTACTATTATTAGCAACATGATTTGTTTAAGGTCTCACTGCTTTTTCAGACTGAAATTTCCAAGGGTAGCTTTCATGTTATTCCCAGTGATCTTTTAAACAAGACACGGGATAAAAACATCTTGAAAGGTCAAGAAAATCAACAAGGCAAACACCTCAGTATAGTGACGACTGTGTTCCTGAAGTGCTCTCACAAAAATATATTAAAAAGTACAGACTCTGCAAGGTCTGAAGGGCTCTCTGCATGACTGAAGAACAGGCACATGAGCTTGTGGGTCAAGAGTTTCCATGGACACCACTGTCTTAAAGCACAGAGCTGACAGATATGGTTGAACTTGGCTACCTATCTGACCATGGTAAGGAATATGCTGAATGACCAAGAAACTGTATATGAAACTGAGAATGTCCACAAGCCACTGAGGCAGGCAAAGCTTTGGAACAGTCACAGCAGATACAGGCAGTGACAAGGCTGGGCTGGTGATAAGCATCACCACCTCATTAGGATTTCCTACAAGGCGCACTGAAGCAAGTCACATCTGTGGGCAGGGAGGATGCCCTCAGCCATCAGCTCAGCTCACATTAATGAACACTTACTATGAGCCAACATGGTCTAAGGCCCTTTGAAGGCCAAGCAGCCTGCCCAAGGTGCAACAGCTTGTAGCAGCTGAACTGATTTTGAACCTGACAGCCCACAGCCAAGATTTCATCTGCCTGGGAAGGCAACTGCAAACACGTCCCTTTCATGCTAGGAACATGTAGGAAGTGGGAATCAGACAGCTCTTCCCTCTAGACGCTGCAGTTCCTCATTAAAAGCGAGATACTTGTGGTACCTACTTAACAGGTTTTTTTGTTTTTTTTTTATATGCAGTAAGTTTTTATTAGTCAGTTTATTCTTTTTTAATTAAGTAATTTTAATTGGAGGGTGATTACAATATTGTGATAGTTTTGATATGGATTATGAAATAAAAGTGTAAAAATCTCTTAGAAAATTATCTGGTACAGAGAATGAATATACTAAATGTTCCCTGTGATGATGATGACGATGATGATGTTATACATAACATAATAAATGAGAGAAAGATCCTGAAGATGAC